GGCGTGAGGTCGGGGCCGGCAGCCTCGGCGCAGGGGTGCCTGGCCGTGACCGCGGGGGCTCTGGCAGCGGGTGTTTCACCCAGACACGTTCACTGCCAGAAATGCTGCCTTGCTCCCAGAGAGTTGCCGTCGGGCCGGGCTAGAGGTCCAAGGGCCTGCCTTTCTGCCGCCCTCAGATACTTAAAGGCTTTAAAGAGAGCTGCCAAGGGAGCAGAGACAGTGGGGACTTTGCCAAGAAAGAATATGGGGGTGAAACTACCCAGAAGGAAAATTCTGTTTTCCGCAACGCAGACAGCAGCTCTAACGCTCTGCGGGCAAACTTTGCCTTTCTGTGGATCTTTGCTTTATGCGGCTGCAAGAGCTGCTCTGCTGTACCAATGCCCTTCTCACCCTGAATAACTCCCCCCTTTAAAGAAAAAAAAAAAGGATTTCTTTAATGGCCTGAGGCAAAGAAGTGTTTGTGAAACAAGAGGACAAGAAAATGCAGCCTGTTTTATGTGAGCGGCCTGCAAGGCAGTGGCGGGAGAGGTTTCCTACAGCACTTCTGGTTGAAAAACAGAATTGTCAAAACTCAACAGCAACCTTTGGAAAATTATTTCACCTGTCAAACAAGGCCGAAAACAGTTGAACTTCAGAGTTTGAACCCTTCCATGTCGTCAACCCTCAATTACATCTTTCTTCAAGTAAGACTGCTGTTCTTTCCCACGTATTTACAGCACCAAATGCTACCTTGTGTTATCCTGCAGGACTTTTCAAACAATACAAAGTTTGGCCATAGTGTACAAAGGGCGACAGACTCATAGCATCCAGGGAGGTTCCCGTTTGTGACGGGTCTGTCACCTCCATGGAGGCCAGGCAAAAGAAAATCCCACCCCAACCGGTCACACTGAGACGCTGTTAGAGACCATAGAATCGCTTTGGTTGGAAAAGACCTTTAAGATCATCAAGTCCAACCGTTAACCTCACCCTGCCATCCCACCTCTAAACCCTGTCCCTAAGCACCTCATCTATCCTTCTTTTAAATCCCTCCCGGGGCGGGGACTCGACCACCTCCCTGGGCAGCCCCTTCCAGAGCCTGAGATGCTACAGCCCCGAGTGAGGGGCTGCCTGGCCCGTGTGGCACGGGGAGCCGGAGCCTCCTCAAGCCCCCTCCTCCCCAGCCCGTACCGAGTGAGACACAGATGCCCCGCGTGGTGAGTTCCCGGATCACCTCGCCGCTCCTCTTCATCTCGGGGGCCAGGGTGACTATCCGGACACAGTCCAGCGACCCATAGGTGGCAAGCAGGTCCTGGAAGGCACCTGCCTCGAAGGTGCGGAGGCAGTGCTCTGGGTGCGCCCCTTTCTTCTCCTTGCTGATGAACGGTCCTTCCAGATGGGCCCCTGCCCAAACGGGAACACAAAGCCATGACCCTTCCTCTCCCTGCCAAGGACCAAGAAGCCTGCTGTGTCTACCCTGCTCCAGTCAAGCTCTCCCCATTCTCCCGCAGCAAAACACACGGCTCAGGCAACTCCGAGCTCAGCACAGCAGAAGATGCAGCGCTGGCCACTGGCCAAGCCGAGCCACCCCACTGCCCTTACCCTGTGGGGCCCAGAAGGGCTGGCATGGTGCGTGCACAACGGCAGGGGCCATGGCAAAGGCCAGGCACAGACTGAGGGAGAAAGCAGGTCTGTGCCCACCTCTGCATGCCCCCCACCGGGGGAGCTCCAGCCCCCATTTGTGCTGTCCCCTACAGAGGCTTCTTTCCCCTTGACAACGAACAAGGTAATTGCCTACCTAGAGCAGCACCAGAGAGGGCAGGGAGGGACAAAACACTTACCCAGGATACCTGCTCCGTGGGCTCCACCGTCTCTTATACTGATCTGAGGGAGAACCTAGAGCAAGGGGTTTGTCAGACACAGCACCCCAGACACAGCACCCCAGCCTGCCAAAACCAACCCACACCTCAGGTCTGAAGGGAGCTTTGTAGCTGGACCACTCGGGGCCATCAGCCAAACACAGCTCGCAAAGAAAAAGCCAGCCGCGAGCCCCGTCATGCAAATCTGGCCCAGGAGACATCGCTGTCTCGGCGCTCTAAAGGTTAGGGCAAGAAATCCAGGAATGGAGTCCAGCTCCTCGTGCCCACAGCTCTCCCGCCAAGGCCACTATCCCAGTCTCTGCAGACCCAGCCTTGGCCCTCTCACCTCTTGCTCCCAACCTCAGCCCTTTATTGCCCTGCAGGTGAGAGGGGGAGAAAGTCCCTTACCTGGTGATACACAGATGGAGGAGAGGTCACCAGGGTGGGACAGAAGGAGGTCACTCCATGGGAGAGGATTTTCTGACTGACCAGGTCAATCCCTGATTTGAAGTCGTCTGTAGCCAGGGAGAAGTCCACCCCAAAGCCTCCTGCACCGTGAACAAAACAGAGGTGAAGCTGCAGCCTCCCCAGCGGACGTTTTCCCACCTGAAAATGCCAAAGAAACATTTTGCGTGACCAGAGTGGGCCACTCCGTTTGTGCAGCACTGACCAGAAGCAAAGGGCTCCACCAGCACCTCTCCTGTCCTACATTCGCGAGGCTCCGCGAGTAGGAATCCAGCCAACGCCGTCCTGCTGAGGTGCTTTTCCCCACAGCACCCCAGCATTCTGCAACCTTTTATTTTGATGCAGGGCAAAATCTGAGGATTCCGCGCCGAAGAGGGGATCTAACTTCCAACATAAGCTACCACAGAACCAGCCTCTCTTGACCCTCAGGAAGGAGCTACTGCAGGTGAGGTTTGCTCCCCTGAGAAGTCCCGCATCCTGGAGAGGGTAGGGCGGGCGTCCTGCCAGCGCAGGGGCAGGGACTGTTGATGAAAATGAGGTTAAGAGGAAAGCTGGGCTCAAAACCCCACCCAGCCAAAGCGGATCAATTATGCAACAGCAGCAACCATGGGCAAAATTGCTCTTTATCGTTAGTTCGGTGACTCACATCTCCCGCGAGCAGCTGAAACGCGCTTGGTCACGGGCAGCGTGCACACAGCAGGGTTTGAAGGTCAGTGATGGGCAAAGCCGGGACCCCCCGCCCCCCTGCGAGCGCATGTGGCTTCGCCGTACCATTGATCTGGACGTCGATGAAGCCCGGGGCGATGATGCTGTCCTTGCAGTCCAGCTGGATGTCGGCAGAGCCCTTCTCATCAAAGAAGAGTTTCTCCGGGTTGAGGATCTTCCCCTCTCGCACCCACAGGTCCTCCCTGCAGGGACAGTGACACACACCCCGAGCTCCTCTGCCGTCCCCGGGGGAGCACACGGGAGCGGGCGGCCGTGGCCCCA